AAACATTTTATTAGGGGCTCATACAACTGTTAAACATTTACTTTCTATTTGAGCCCTTGGTATCAGCTCTTTTTTCCAATCCACCCTTCCCACCCTCATGCCTACTTGCTAAATTATAAAATATTTTCATATCTTACAATGATCACTGACCTCCTCCACCCACATTTTTGTTGTTTGTCCCCCTTGGGGTTTGTTGGTTCAGGGATGTGTGTCAATCATTGTGAACTGTACCCCCTACTTCCCCTCCTTTCCCCACCTTACACCTCCCTTCCTGGTTTTACTACTCCCATTTCTGTTCCCGAGTGAGTTATCTGACCTGGATTCCATGTGTCCTGAGCTCTTACCTGTACCAATGTACATGCTCTGGTCTAGACAGAATTGAAACATAGCACAACTTTTACTCCCATATGATTTATGTGCTCTTGAGCTCTCCAGTCACCTAGAAGACCCAGGAACAATATGATACTCAGGCTGTCGTTTTTTGTAGGTAAACTGACAGGTGACAATTACCGTTCAGTTCTATCATTGCCTCATTTAGGTGGTTCTTTCTGCAGATTCTGTTACACTAGCCAAAATTCAGTGTCTGTGTGCAAAGGTTTTAAGTTTAGATGCTTTTTTTCTCCCAAAACAGTCATTATATCCTTCAATAAATTATTCTGCTTCAACATTTTAAAAATATGACTAATATAAGTCAGCAAAGAAATAATTTATTTGTAAATCAAACAACTTGTGGGGTATTACCCCCACAATCAAATGGGTCCAAGGGGCAGTTGTATAATTAAGGGGTAAGTGAAAGAGCCATCAGACAAGATAAGGCATCATGCAAGGGCTCACCTTTGAGACGTTGACTTCAGAAGCCAGGTCTGTGCAGAGAAAGCATATTTCCAACCAAGGCTTATATGCACTCTATGGGCATGCAAGCCCCGCTAATTACAGGTAACCACATACATCAAGTGGACTGTAACCTAACCCTAAAAGTCCTTGAGTACATTGGAGGAGTAACAACCCCAGTGCCAGGGGAAGGTAAGGTAGAGTGGCTGTTTTCAGAGCCTAGAGAGCAATTGCACATGTCTGCTCTTATAGATAATGCTGCCAGCTAGATAACAATCACCCATGTGCTTGTAAGAGGTAACTTTAAAGCAGCACTATTATGGGAGGATATAGTAGGGAACAAAATTATGAGAATATGACTAGGACTCATCTCCAACTCACAAGGGTGAAGACCTCCCTCCACCCCAGAAACCCAGCCCTGCCAGACTTCTTAATACATTAGAATAAACAATTCATCCGTATACACCTTCTTCCGATTCTGTTTCCCACAACAATTTATCATGAAACCTAGTCATTTGAACAGCTTGTCAAGAGTAGACATGCAGTTGATATGAAACATATTTCATAAAACAGTCAACTTCTCCCTCTTTTCCAAAGAAAAGAAAGAGGAAATGTATTTTTCCAAAACATTTTTGAAAAATCTTTGCAAATCATTTTTTAAAAAATTACTAAATTCAGCTTTTTCTTTCTAGGACTAATCAGTCATTGTTTCAGACTTGTGAAAATAAAAATTGGATCATTTAATGCACCTTTTCCATTACCATGATAGGTATATCTATTTTTAGTTTCTTCCTAACAGGAAAATTCCTAGAAAGATCTTAGTGTCCATACTAAGAAGAAAATGTCAATAGTTCTTTTAAAAAATTTTTATCTGGTGTTATGAATTTAATTTTATTCAAAAAAACTGTTATAAATTATGGCCTATATGCTTGTGGTTACTATCCCATTGGGGAATGTGTTGTCTTTGTTATATTCATGAGGCATGATTAGTGTAGGGCAAGTCCACCTCTTGTTATATTAAAGATACTGAATTAAAGCGAGTAAGAAGACTGGGGAAGATATATCAACCCACAGGAAAATTGTCTGGGAGCAGGTGCTAAAAGGCACAAGGATTTTTCTCCAGATCAAATAGAGTGAAAGCCATCTGCTAGGAACAGCATCCTGAATTTAACTTCCTAGTTTCCTGAAATGTGATGAATTTAAGCAATCCAATTTTGGCATATCTGTTAAAATACACTAAGTAATTAATTTGGTACCAGAATAGTAGAGTGCCTCTCTAACATACCCAAAATGTGGAAGCAGTTTTGGAATTGAGTAATAACTGAGGCTAGAAGAGTGAGCCCTGGTGGCATAGTGGTTAGTCACTGGGCTGCTAACTTGCACGCTTAGCAGTTTGAAACCACCAGTGGCTCCAAAGAAGAAAGATGAGGTTTTCTACTTCCATAAAGTATCAACAGTTTCAGAAACCCACGGGGACACTTCTATTCTGCCTTATAGGATCACCATGAATCAAAATAGACTCAATGGCATTGAGTTTGGATTTTATTGGTACAAGCTACATTGCTTTGAAAAGACTGTTAGAACTATGGACATCAAAGGTAATTCTGATAGAAAGAATTTTTTAAAATGCATATGGCACGAGCAACAGAATGTTAGAAATGTGGACGTTAAAATTGTTTCTGATGAGGCTTTTAAAGGGTCATTGGACATTAAGAAACAGTGATGCTTTTTATTCAGTGGCAAAGAACTTTCTGAATTACATTTATATGGCTTGTGGCAGGTAGAATTGGTAAGTGATGAACTTGGATATCCAGCTGATGTGATTTCTAAGCAAGATTTTAAAAGCGCCCCATTATTTCTTGACAAATACCCTATTCACTAAGGGAATGGTTACACAAACATTTGTTGAAAAGAAAGAGCCTGTCACTGAAAGTTGTTACCAAATACCTCAGCAGAGAAGCCAACAGTGGAGAGGGCAGGGGACTTTGTTATAACTGGTAGACTAGAGAAACAAATCCAGGGAGACTCATATGTAGAGGAAAGGACTTTATATCAGAGAGCAATTATATATTGACAAAACAACCCAGCCCAGTCCAGATTAGGTCCATAATTCTGATATTAGCCCATTAATTCCTTGTCAGACTCATGCAGCACATGCAATGATGGTAATTGCAGGAAAATCACAGGCCAGTGGGTGAAAAGTCTGGTGGATGAATCTGGGTGCTAGCACAGCTCTCCACATGACTCCGCCAGCTCCAGGGCCCTGGCTGCCATCAGTGTGGCTCCATGTGGCTTGTCACAGGCCAGTAAAGCAGAGAGAGTGTGTGTCCTGCCTCTAGGGAGGAAGAGAGGAAAATTCCCAGAATCCTCATGAGAAGGCCATGCCCACAAGGAGGCATCAATCAGGCTGTGACCTGATTGACAGGCTAAAGATGTAATTACATAATATGCCCAACAAAATTTAATCTGAACAGTGAACTGAGCTGTGTATAGAAAATATATGATGATAAGATTAGTTACTTCACAGGAGAGGAAATCTAGATTTACAAAAATGCAAATTAGTTCTACAATCAATTGTGATTTTGTAAGCACTAGATGAACAAAAATTAAGATTTGGGACAATACTGAGTATTAAAGTGTGGAATAACTACAATTCATACTCAATTGGTGTATGTATGTATACATTTTGTGTCAGGCTGGGTTTTCTAAAGAAACTAAAAAAAGAAGAAATTTTTTTTAGTGGTGTTTATAAAAAATACATTTCAAGAGAGTGGTCCACACAGTTTTACAAGTGGGTAGTTCAGTCCAGTTCAAGTTGGAGGGTCAGCTGTTAAACTGGACATTTTTCCTGACTAGCAGTTGGGGGCTGACAAATAAGGAAACAGAAAGATTAAGTAGGAAGATGAAGCAGAAAGAACAGAGCTGGCGGATGCAGAGATGGATGAATCAAAGGTCAGCAGGTCAGATGGCAGGCTCCAATGGCTGCCAAGGTCAGTAGGCAGTATGGTGGACCCACCATTGGCTTAAGTTCAGAGAATGAACTATCAATGAGCCAGATGCAGGCTCCAGATCAGGAAGACATGAGGAACCTTAGCAGAGTATCCATTTATATGTATAAAGTAGGCCAGACCCTTGAGAAAACATCATCAAGACAATGGCAAGCAGAGGGTAGTAGTGTACCCTAATCTTTGCACAACTCCTTGCCTGCTCTGAGAAGGTCCCATCATGTAGTTGTTTGCATTATGTTAGGTCACTTCATCAGAGTGACCTCAACTGCCAACCTACTGAGAATCCTGGCCCAACTATGTTGACACAAAATTGGCACAAATTATTGATGTTATTTTGTAAAGGTGGATATGTACACATCATGGCAGAGTTTCCACTCCTATGGATGAAGGCAAGGAAGAAAGTATTCCTGCCAAATCATCAAAATAACAAAATGTGAATCTACTATTCCTCAAAGTATCCTACACCAAGGTTTATACAGCACTGAAGTTTAAACACTTCTATCTCTCTAACCATTCCCAGAAAAATTCTGTGCTCTTCTGTTTATACCATATCAAAAGGCAGTTTGAATCATGTTATTTTTAAATGTTTTTCTTTTTATTTTGGGTAACAAAAGAAAATGTTTGTGGGTCAATATCAGGGTTATATGGTTCATGGGGCTCAAGGGCTCAATAGGACAGCCCTTGCTACATTTAAAGAAAGGGCATGTTCATTGTCATAATGAGACATAATTCCTAGGTACAATTTTTCTGGCCTTTTTATCACCAGTGTAGTTTGAATTTTGCTAAAACTTATTCCTAATAAGCCCAATGATCATCCAGTATCTTTTGAGAAAACCTATCAAGATTATACTTTCATAGTACAAAAAATATATAAATAAACTCTAAGCTGAATTCTCTGCTTTGACTTTAACTGGCCCAGTAGGTCCCCTCAGAAGCCACCATTTTTTATTTCTCTCTCTCCCCCTCTTCCTTTATATTTCCTCCTTTTCTTCTTGAAGGCATCTAATGAGATGAAGACAATGGAGAGAACTTGTCAGAAGCCATGCATGATTGTAGATGCATATTTAAGCATGTTTTGTTTGGAAGAAACCTGTGCATGAATAAATAAGAGTTCTAGTAGTAATACTTTCTGACTTACCCTCATGTATATGACAGATAATGCTTACATTCGGGCACCAGTAGACATATATGAGTATTTTCTTACAGCACTAACAATAATAGCAAATAATTGGAATAGTGTGGATATACTTTGATAACAGAATGGATACATTTTAGAATATTAACAAAGTAGAGTAACTGAAGATAAACCAAACTGTATGTTATATGTATAAACTTTAAGAAACATGTTAAATTTTAGAAAGTAATAGACGCTATCTGCGATATATTATTTTTCACAAAGGTAAATTTAATACTAATGTGGGACCTTGAGTATAAAAAGCAAACCAAACTCACTGATATTGAGTCAATTCCAACTCATAGCCACCCTGTAAGTCACGGTAGAATTGCCACTGTGGTTTTCCAAGACAGTAACTTGTTAGAGAAGTAGAAAGCCTTATCTTTCTCCCTGGGAGCAACTAGTGATTTCTGTTATGTGCCAGTGTTGCTGGGTGTTCTTCCTCTGAAGTAGCATCCTAGTTCCTCCCAATTGCTTGTTGTATCAGAGATAGAAATGCACAATGCCAAGCAGTAGTTTATCAAGTGGAGATATTCTTTGAGAGAGCATAGAGTGTCTCCTCAAAAGTTGAAGAAGATCTCAGTCTGGGACAAACCATCAATTTTGCAGGGGAATACAGATAAGAGTTCAATTGTCTACTTTAAGCCGAAACTGAGTCCTTTTGTTATTTTTAACCATGGTGTCCTGATTAGTTGGTGAGGTTTCCTGTTGCTCATTTGATGACTAGTCCTGATTATCACTGGAGCAGCAGGCACCTCAAGGAGGAGTCCTCACTTTCTCCTGGGGGTTGAGTGCTCAGCATCTGCTCTGACAACATTCCTCAGTTAAAAAGAATGGGATTCGGAATTCATTTGGGAGACTGGGCAGAGACTGCTCTAGCTATTTCTTGCCTCTGCTCTTCACTAGCCCTGACTGTGTTTGTCAGTAATTTCCAGTCTACCCCTAGTGTCATGATGACTTGAAGAGACAAAATTAAACAAATAATAGAGGGTGGGCCAGGTGTCTCCCATACTGGGAGGATAGTTCCCCTTAAGAAAAATGTAGACCAATACAGGTTCAGCAGACATGATGGAATGATTCTCAGAGGTGGGGGGGCTCCATTGACTTGGTTCGGACCAGGGTCTGATAGGACGTGAGTGCTGCAACATCTTGGTACAGTTTGTGATGCTGGAGTATCATTATTTGAAAGAAGGCAAGGATACCAATTTAGACAATAGACCCAATGTGCAGGGGCAATGGTAATAATGAAAATAATAGCAGTGAGGGGGGCCTAAAAAAGAGATTAACCACTTCAAAGATTGTGAGGAAAATCCTCGTGTGTCCTCTGCTTGCTGTTGCTAGAAAGAGGTGGTAGAAAAAAGCACAGTTCTTGAGTTTTTATATAACACCTTGGAGTACACCTGATTGATTGGTATAGTGTGTTAGGCAGGGTTCTCTAGAGAAACAAAACCAGGACACTTATGATTATTTATATATGAGAATAGGTTTATACAGTGAGAAGAAATATAACAGATAATTAATCCATAATAAGCACAGAGGTCTCAGTTCAATTCACTTTCATGGGATACTTAATATACTGGAAGTCCTTCAACTCACATGGGCTGCCAAGTCCAAGGTCAAGGAAGCAGAAAGCTAAATCCTCTCTAGGCAAGGCAGGCAGAGTGTGTCCGCAGTTAGGAAACAGTGGGGTGGGTCAGCAACAGTCAGTAGCTCGGGAGCTTAACAAAACAGGCCCAGATGAGATATCGAACTCAAGCAATGCAAGGCAACTGGATCCACCAGCTTTAAACTCAAACGATGTACACACCAGCAACGTGGCAAAGCAGGTCTCAAAGGACACTCGAGCTCTAGGGACACAATCCACAGATTGGCTTGGCCTACAGGTAGTGTAGCACACAGGTTGAGGCCAAAAACTTGCTAAAGTAGCGTAACTCTGGTCCGATCACCAGAGAGCAAGAGAGAGACAGAGTTGTGCCTTGCAGAGCCATTTATCTCTTTGCCCTCCTCCAATCAAGCTGCAACCTGATTAATCCTACATGTTCCTATTGGCCAGGTTGGCACAATAAACGTAACTATCACATAGAGTAACAACATTTTCTCTAAGAGCAATTCAAAGTGCCCTGCACTCAGCTGTTAATATGCTGAGACCTTGGTGCAAGACCACTGCTGCTAGGGAATGAACCTAAGTTTGAAGTGCCCGCAGCTACCACCATCCTCAGACTGTGGGGCCAGCTGACAATAAATGGAGCAAGGTTTGGGGACAAGTATGCTATTGGTCTGGATTCAGGTCTCACAAAAGCTCTCCAGTCAATTTGTCTTTTTTCTGAAACATATAAGTAAAATGGCTTCTTAAATCCGGAAGGTCAAGGGTTGGACACTGGTCAAGGCACTTTGAGCTTTTTGTAGGCGCCATCATGCCTTTCTCCCATTCTAATT